TGTGGGGATTTCTAAAAGAAAAAGTTTACCAGACTCCCGTAACCACAAGAGATATGCTAATAGACAGAATCGGGAATGCATGTGATGAAATAAAGCCTTATTTGAATAATGCGTTCGATCATTCGTAGATGTGAATTGTGTATTGAACAATTGGGTTTACATTTCGAGCAACTACTTTAGATTTTGTATGTTTGTCCTAACTATCCAATAGCATTTTAGTTGTAAATAATTAATTTAATTTGTTAAAAATAATATTGGAAAATTAAACAAATTAATATTCTGCTTTTTTGTGTTTATTTGGAGTTAGGAATTATTGCTGTGTTTAAATGAGATATAGGGATATAAGATAGAAAAACGAGTAACATTTTACTGATATTTTCATAAAATTTTGTTTGGCCTCCCATTATTTTTTGCAAAGTAAAGCGCATGGCAGCCAATGTGTTAAGCACATTACGTCATACTGAGACTCAGTGCCATTTCGTCAACTTTATGATGTAGGCTTTGTACATTTGTAGTAGAAAAGAGTTCTGTGATCTGCCGTTTGACCATACAATATATTTTTGAAAATTTTTTCGAATAGTATGCCTTTCTACTTTGTAGATACGTAATGCAAAATTTCCGTAGTTACAAACAAACAAAACTGAATACACTTGTGTGATTTTGAACGCGGACGAATATAGAGATCAGAAAATGCTAATACTGAAGTAGAAAAATGGGAATTTTTGATCTCAGCGAAAAACAGATATTATATCCGTGATCAACGTACATAAATTACGCAGACGCAGATTTTGGTCAATATCTTAGGTACTCAAGATTCTTTAAAACTGTTTTTTTAATAGAACGCTTTCAACTTGAAAGCCACTAGTGCAGTAAATTCGTTCTAAGGTGAATGAACCATGGAAGGACACTATAACAGTTCCTTTATTTACTAGATAAATGAGATGAACAAGTTATTAAGAAACAGTTTGTTTTATTAGGTAACTTATAGGACACTTATTATCGCAGGGTTAATTATTATTGGGTGAATTTAATTTTAATTAGGCTCTTCTCAAGGGCTTGCAATTATTTATGAGATTTATTGAATATCTGTTTATATTACTCAAACTACATAGAAAGGCCTTTCATTGAATGGAACATTAAATGCAATAATATGTTCTCATAAAAAATACCCAAGAAACATTGCTTGAACGCTATCGTAAAATTAAAGAGTGGTATTCGTAAAAATAATTTTAATGATATTAAATAATTTGCCCATATCTTTATAATAAAATAAAAAAAAAATAAGTCTACCAAGATGGCCGTTTTAAAGATCCGTTCCTAGTAAGCCCAACAGGTTCCAGATAGCGTTAGAAATCTTCAATAGGCTACTTGAATCATATCTAGTGTCAGAATAATTCGATTTTTAAAAGCGCAAGATGGATATATAAATTCAGCTTAAAAAAAATACATTTTAATATGCATATATAGATCTTTTTGATATGAATCAGTAAAAACGCTATCGGCCATGATATGACGTCATTCAATTCGATTCAATTCTCTTTTGCCCAACAGATGGAAATCCAATTTTGAACAGTCATTCGTATGTTGAATGAATTAATGAATCAAAATTAGAGGCATGCCGGCCCTTATGCACATCTACATTCCTTAGATCACAAACCTCGCCCTTTTAGCGAAGTTGAGAATCTCCTTGAGTCCAAACTTCTTGACGTCCTGAGGGTCCAAAGTAATGGACCCCAGTATAGTCTGCCTATAGTAGCTCAGAGCTTCACAGCGACACAAAACGTGCGCCGAGGTCTCTTCCTCTACCTCGCAGCACTCAGACAAGGGATCCTCAGCCACCCCCATCACGTGCATGTGGCGCCTTAACGTGTTATGGCCAGACAACAGTCCCACCAGTAACCTTAGGTTAGCTCTATCCAGAGATAGGCAGAAACGTCCATCCTTAGCACTGGGCCCCGTGCTTGGCGGAGATATCTGTAGATACTTCTCCATTTTCCTCCTAGCTGTATGCGCGGTCACTCCTAAAGCTGGCTCCAACGAGCTTGCTGGCTGATCCTGTCTTCGCCAGAGCATCCGCCGTCTCATTGCCCTTATCCCAGCGTGCCCCGGTACCCACATTAACGATACCAGATGCCTCGCTGCGAGGCAATCCAGAACCTTCCTGCATTGCAATACAAGACTCGAAGTAATCTTACAGGCACTTAGTGCTTTCATTGCAGCCTGGCTGTCGGATAAGATTGTTATTCTTCTCCTAGGCCCACCCTCCTCCAGAATGCGTGATACACAAGCCATAATCGCAAAGATTTCCGCCTGGAAAATAGTGGTGTATCCACCGAGAGGCACGGATAGCCTAGTTCTAGGCCCAGATACCCCAGCACCTGAGCCCTTTTCGCTGACCGGCGTCCCACTCCTCCCTAGTTGAATACTGCACAATAAACTTGCGGGTGAAGCGATATTTAGGGGTAATACGATCAACCCTGCTTAGAAGGATGGGGTCCTCCCTTTGCAATTCGACTAAGATGGCAGTATGCCCCATGACAGGATTCAAGAAGGCCCAGCTGCCCTGACTCCACAGTCGATGAGCGACTCCTCACGCTTCACCGCGGATCACCAGATCTAACGGTGGGAGATCCAACAGAGCTTCAATTGCACTCAATGGCGTTGTTCGCACTGCGCTTGTAATGCTAATACAGGCCAAACGCTGAATTTTATTGAGTATGGAATTACTTGTCTCAGTTCTAATGCAAGGTCACTAGACCAGGGAGCAGTACAAGAGAGATGGACGTACTATCGTTGTGTTGAACCAGTATACCACTTTGGGTTTAAGCCCTCACCTTACACCGACAACACGACTACAGGCTCACATTGAATTGCGAGCCTTGCTAACCTTGTATTCAACATGCTCTCTCCAGTTCAGTTTTCAATCCAGGATAATTCCCAGATGTTTCACTGATTGGGATAGAATTAATCTAGTCCCAAAGAAGGTCGGCATGACCAGCCCGTCATTCGTATGTTACTCGTGAACTAACTTTGTCTTCTTTGAGTATTTCTAAAAAACTCCCCATCAACTTAAAAAGCTATCATTTTCTCGTTTTTTTTTTGCAATCAAGGACATTTGGATTCGCAAAAGCCAAATTTGCCGAAAATTGACACATTGAACAATGTTCTAGTCTAATAGAACATATATTAACTACTTAAGACTTGCTTAAAAAAGTGTCAACAAGTCTATTCAGTAAATATTGAGGTAGTACAATTCAACAACCAGTAAAATATATCCAACTTTCACCTAAAACTTAGTAAGGAAGTACTACTATTTCCGTAAGTCCAAGATGCTGCTAATAAGGCCCTTGCATCCTATCAAGGACTGTACTTAATTTATACTATAGACTTGGGTAGCTCTGTGAAAAACTCTTCTGTGATGTGCTATGCCGATGATACACAAATATATAAGAGCTTTAATAGTAACACTTCGCATACTTCAATCAATGAGCTTAATGATGATTTGGAGGCAATAGTAGGATACTCAAATGGTAACAATCTTAAGCTCAATAAGGATAAGTGCTCAGTGATGCTTTTTTGTCCTGCTGTCAAACGTAACACTATATTGAATTCTCTTGATGTAAAAATCGACAAGGAGCGTCTAGCTGTCGTAAATACTACAAAAAATTTAGGGTTGATTATTGATTATACTTTACGGTTTAAGGAGCATGTTTCGTCTATCTTAAAAAAATATTATGCAACTTTGAAGTGTTTTTATGTCAATCGCTCTATTTTGAATTTTAAGGTTAGAAAAAAGTTATGTGAGGCTATTATATTTCCAAGCTTATTTTACTGTAGCACTGTGTTCCAGCATTGTCTTGATTCTATCACAAAAGCAAGACTCCAAAAACTCCAAAATACTTGTTGTCGATTTGTATTTAATCTCAAGAAGTATGATTATGTTTCCTTAAAGAGATTTCCGCTTGGTTGGATGTGTATAGAAAATGATTGCAAGGACCATATAGCAGTGTTTACACATAAGATCATATCTTCTCGATCCCCCTTGTATCTTTATGAGAAATTTGTTTTCAGGCGAAATAATTCAGACATTGATTTCAGACACAAAAAAAGACTAGAGATCCCTATGTATAAAACAACTTTATTTCGTAGTTCATACACTTACAATGCTATCCTGATTTATAACGAATTAGATGACAATATAAAGGATTGTCCAGTAGACAGATTTCGTAAACATGTGAAACAGATTTATTTGTCATTGTAGTAATTGTGGAAAAGTTAGTTTTTAATTCTTATATTTTATTTTATTTTTACGTAATATATGTGTGTATATATTATGTATGTCAGGAAGCTATCAAGCTCATTGTTTTGAAGCGTCTTTTGCTGCTTGTCAAAGTTTCCTTTGATTAAGTATTTCAATTTATTATTTGGGTAGGTTAAGTAGAGTAGCCAAGAGCTAGACTGCGCCTACGTAGAGGTCACATTATGTTGTAGTTTATATAATGTGCCTAATAAAGACATTTTATTATTTATTATTATTATTAACTGGTAATTTTTTGATCGACCTCACAAGAAACAACTGGCTTTTCTAGGAACGCTATCTATACTTTAACTAACATTGAAATAAAGTAATAGTTTTTATTCTTTAGTATCATGGCAAATACTTATACATATATCAGTTCATAGTAAAAAATAAAGAATATAATACGAGTAACTTAATTAGTTTTGCTGTGAGCTCGGAATTTACTTTTACTGTCAAGGACCGATGTAGACAGAGCAAGGGACCGCATTGAGAAGATAACGATGCGAGCAACTCGCGACAGTTCGATGAATGAGTGTGGTTAGAAGGAATTTATCATCGCATAAGGATGACTACGACTTTTCAATAATCGGCGTTCCATGGTCGCTCCACCTTAGTACTATGAGAACCCGCGATCACATAATCTTGGAAACTACGATATTTGTTTGCTGCTGAACCAACATCAATCTATGTTCGCTTATAGGTATGGAGAATCACAACCTCACATGATTCAACGCCCTCCCAGCTTCCTGGTGGAATGGATCGGCCAGGAACCTGGAGCGGCCGCCTTCAGCTGGCTGGAGATCACCAGGTCCCGTTCCTCCCTCCTTCAGCAGCTCCAGGTGCCTGTCAACGCCAGTGCCAACGACACAGAGCTGGAGTGCGCGTACAGGTGCCCCGAGTTGATGGACGCCTGCATCAGCGCGTCGCTCTGGTGCGACGGCAAGGATCATTGTCCTTCAGGATACGACGAGAGCGAGTCACAGTGTGGTGCTACTTCTAGGTTGCTGAATTCGTTGCCGCTGTCGGCGCTTGCTGCTGGAATCGCAGTGGTGAGTACAAAAACAAGAAATAAGTATGGTAGTTATACCCCATTCGTAGTCCATTTACGCCCAGACAAAACACAACATGCCCAAAAGCGAGATTGTACAGGTCCGTATTTTTCTCGATGATCTTGGAATAATCTAACAAAATAAATGATTATTTTTATAGAAAGCGGTGCATATATACTAAGTGACATATAAATCCGAACACCCAGTTTAAATGGTTTTATTTTAATAAAACTTTGTATAAGTACTTAATGAAGCATAATAAGTAAATGATAAAAATTTCAAAATGATTGCACTGCTTTAAAGCCCTTTGACCTTTAATAATGTGTGGATGCACCCTGATGTGCTACGCATTCTCCAACGCGCCTAGGCATGCTTCTGATCAGGTGGTCAATGTCCTCCTGTGGTATCTCATTCCAGGCAACCACCAACTCCTCTCGAAGTGCTTCTAGAGTCTGAGGAGGACGTTGCAAATTGAGCAATCTCCTACCCATCATATCCCACACGTGCTCAATTGGGGATAAGTCGGGAGGTCTTGGTGGCCATGGTAACAATGTGACATCATTATGTTGAATGAAGTCTATTGTGACTCTTGCAACATGTGGTCGGGCATAAGCTATAGCACCCCAAACCATAACTCCAACAGTGTGATGAACATGTCTTTCAACAAAAAACTGTGGATTCCTCCTTTCACCACGTCGCCTTCTAACCCTGGCACGACCATCGTGCATGCCTAAACAAAATCGAGACTCGTCACTAAAGACAATACTGTTCCATTCCTGATCCCAGAGTGACCGTTGTCTGCACCACTCAAGGCGATTACGTCGGTGTTCTCGAATTAAAGGGAGGACCCAGTGTGGCCGGTATGAAAACAAGCCAAAACTTCTCATTCGTCGGTAAACACTTCGCATGCCAATAGGTCTTCCGTGTTCTGCAAACCATTCATTTGCAATGGACCTGGTAGTGGAGAAACGGTCCCTTAAGGCCAATAATCTTAGGCGGCGATCTTCACGGTCTGTTGTTCTACGGCGGCGTCCAGTGCCCCTTGCTCTTTGCGTACGGCTTTCTCGAAGCCATGCCTGACAACACCTAACCACAGTGTCTACACTTCTTTGCACTCTAACTGCAATTGCCCGAAAAGAAAGTCCAGCTTCCCGAAGTCCCACTATACGGCCCCTATCAAACTCACTAAGTTGACGAAATCGTACAGGTCTCCGTACTCTAGGCATCGTAACCGATCGTAAAGGATGTCAAGAACCAAAATCCGCCAACGTTGACTCTTTACTGCGGCTGAAATATTCATTTTTAGAGCGTTAGTGAATTAAAAAAAAGCAGTATAAAAACCGGAATGTCCAACTGATAAGGCTGAAAATTGTTTCACTTGTTATTTACAGTAAGATAAATACATTCACCAACTTTTATTAAAATAAAACCATTTAAACTGGGTGTTCGGATTTATATGTCACTTAATATACTTTTCACATTTCTTCATTCGCTGGAAGTACTTGAATCATCGTCCGAATGGTTAATTTTAATTATTACAGGTTCAATTTGAATATCGGTCATATTGTCCAAATCCCACATCCTTGTTTCGATTGTCACTTGAGGGGGTAGCTTTAAAACTGTCTTATTTTGTTTTTTAGCAATTTCCTCAATAACATGAGAATATATTTATATTTGTGCTGCCTGACTAGATGGATAAGTTCTGCTTTGACCATATTTTCATTGGAACTAATGTCTTTTGATAGGAGCCATTGTTGAATTTCTGCATTTCTTGTGGACATTGTGGGATTTTCTTCTGGTTTTCTAGTGTGATAAGCAGCATTTTCAAGTACAATGACGGCATTATTGTCAAGCTTTGGGAGCGTTTCTTAAAACCATCGTTGAAATGAACTCCCGGCGATTTATTCATGGTAGTCGGTCGTTTTCTTTGACTCAAATGCCCATAGGGCAGTGGGCACAAAGCCATCTTCACTGCCAATGTGACAGATAACAAATCGCGATTCTGAAATCTACAAACACAATGATAATTTCAATAGAAAATGAGAAGGTCTTGCTTTAAACAAAACGTGGTTCCCAATTCTAAAAAACACAGCACAAAAACCACGTCACTCAAGGGACCCAGAGTACCCCCACCAGACAGCTCAGTCCTCAGTCCAACGATCGCCAATAAAACCGCATGCCCATCCAGTTGATCGATCAGTTCCAGTCGACCCGCCAAGCCGAGCACTTCGCTCTCGCCGACAGCGCCACTGAAGATGGCTACCGCAGATGTAGCCGGAAGCTATGGATCAAATCCAACCAGACCACGGCTCAACAGCCCGAAAAACCTAAATGACATTAGAATTAGCCGTGAAAGCCTTCATTCTTCAATTATTATTGTTATCATTATTATCATATATTATTAAATTTATTTGCTGCCTTTATCGCTCTGCCTCGGACCATAACTGGGATGACTTACTTGAATACCTCGCCGTCAAGATCGACTTCCTGAACATCAATCATCCCACTTCAGAGGTAGTTCTTCTCGGTGATTTCAATACCCATAATGGGCTTTGGTTGGGCTCAAGCAAGACCGATGCAGCAGGTCGTACAGTCGAAGCGTTCGCTCTTACTCAGCTGGTGACGAGCCCTACCTTTTTCCCCCGCGTCTCGTCACATGCCATTAGCCTGCGACATATCTTTCTGACCACGCACCCTGTTCCTTACAGCCCTGCTGTCCTGTCCCCCCTAGGTAACTCAGACCACGGTGTTGTGGAGGTTAGGTTTCGGTCAGAACCCGCTGTGGACATGCCGACTGGGAAAGGCTCAGAGACTTCTTCTTTACCTTTCCTTGGAGAGATGTTTGTTTCACTGACGCGGATGCGTCGGCTGTTTGTTTTTCGATAACCGAAATTATCCACGTCGGAATGGAGGAATACATCCCTCACACAGTGAAAGTGCCTAAACCAGGGTCCAACGGCTGGTTTAACAGACCGTGTGACAGTGCTCACCAGCAGAAGATCAAGGTCCACAGAACCTTCTTATAAAACCCGACAGTAGAGAACAGACAAGCCGACGTCGAAACCAGAAACAAATATAACGGAGCGGTTCGCAGTGCCAAAAACCAGCACGATATAAAAGTTAGGCACACGCTGGCCAAGCAGATTGAAAAGAACTTCTCACACAGTAGCCTTCCACCACGTACGTGTCAGGATGGAACAATTGTATCCGACTCAAAGGCCAAGGCGGAAGTGCTTGCCAAGATCGTTGCTGCCAACTCCACCATGAACGTACCCCCAACGCCCAAGTGCCGTCAATTCAAAGGATTCCCTACACTATGCGGGAGGTAACATTCAAGCATAAGACGAGTGCTCTTGTCGTTCGACATCAACACGGCTTCTGGTCCTGACTTGATTCCTGCCATTGTACTGAAGAGGTGTGCAGCGGAGCTTGCTCCAGTTCTTTCGCGTCTCTTCCAGATATCTTATGAATCCGGCACCTTCCCTGAAAACTGAAAATTTGCCCATGTCCAACTCATCCCAGAAACAGGATCTAAGACCGACCCTTACAACTACAGACTTATAGCCCTGCCTTCTGTTATAAGTAAGGTGATGGAGAGGTGCATAAATCGGGAGCTTCTGAACTACCTCGAACGTCACAGCTTGATTAGCGACAGGCAGTATGGCTTCCGGCACCAGCGATCCACTGGGGGCTCCTAACCTGTGTCACGAAATTGTCGAATAAACTCATTCAGTCTTATGGTAAGGCTCATGTCGTTGCTCTTGACATCACGAAAGCGTTCGATCAGCTGTGGCACGCTGCCCTCTTAAGCAAACTCCATCCTATGGCCTCCCAGAAAAGCTTTGCAGATGGGTGGCTGACTTTATCTCTGGTCGCAAGGTCTCCGTCGTAATTGACAGGTTCTCCACTTCAGCCCACAACGTCAACGCAGGTATTCCCCAGTGATCCATCTTGGCTCCGACACTCTTCCTCTTACATATGAACGACCTCCTTTTCTGCACGATCAACCCAATTCGCTGATGACAGCACTCTACATGCAGAAATTCAAGGTGACAAGCCTATCTCTGCCACTGAGCTGAAAAAAAGGAGACTAGTGACGACTTCCTCTCTGACGAGAGACCTGGAGGTTATCACTGCTTGGGGATGCAACAATCTTGTGCAGTTTGATGCTTCCAAAACACAGTACTGTACCTTAACGAACAAAAAGCGTCCTAGCGCTCATCCGGTTTCGATGGATGGCCGGGCTCTGCCAAAGAGCCATTCATTTCGGCTGGTTAGAGTCCAAATCACCGAGGACCTGATCTGGCACGAACACATCTCGTCAATAGCGGCAGCTACTGGGAAAAAGCTAGGCTATTTGTTTAGGGCTCAGAAGTACTTTTCTCCGCATGACCTTCTTACTCTATACAAGGCCCAGATAAGGCCTAGCCTCCAGTATTGCTCACACGTTTGGGGTGCTGCCTCACCGACTACATTATTTATGCTCGATGCTGTCCAGAGGAGGGCGGTCCGACTGATTGATGACTCTTCTTTAACAGACAGTCTCGGGACCCTTTCGCACCGACCGGCCGACGGCGATCTAGCTCTTTTCTACCGCTGCACCAACGGGATTTGCTCCTCAGAGCTTTCTTCCATGAGGCCGTCTCGAGATGTACCTACCAGGCAGACCCGCCTGACTTTGGCGTCTCATCCTAACCATGTCTAACTTCGTACATCCAGAGCTGGCCGATACGACCACTCCTTTATCCCGAGTGTATCGACATTGTGGAACAATCTACAAGAGGAAGCTTTTCCCAGTTCTACTAACCTTAGGCTGTTCAAAAATCGTATTAATAAAATTTCTTTGGGATCATCATAGCAGCCGCAGTGTCGCGGCATTTAGGCTTCTCACTGCGCAGCTCCTTTGGTATACAAAAAATATTATTGTTGTTATCGAATTTTTGGTGTAGACTAGTGATTGAATATCTCGATTGATAACATTCCACAGGTGCAAGGTTACACTTACAAACACATTAATTAGGTTATTCTTTTTTGAAACAATGCTACCTTCAATGTTTCGGCAAATTGAAATCTCCAGATCTGGCTGATCACAGATATGTATGTTTGCTGAATCAAGTAGAATAGACGTCAGTGAGCTGCGGTTTCCGCAATGTGGTGCCGTATGCTACTCAGTCCGTAACATAGTTGATTTATCGGGCGAAACGTACCATGAGCGTGTCGTTTCTCGTAGTAGTCTTGGTGACAGTGATCTTCAAAATCAGTTTACCTCTACCATAAATTGTTTTTGCAGCTATAAAGGAAGGAGGCGTCAAGCCAATATTGGACGCGTTATTCCAAGTACACTCATCAAATGGTTCAGAAGCTTATCGAAAACTGGTCTTCTAGATTCACCCTAGGAGCCAACTACGCTACCTTGCTCGAAAGGCGCTGGAACCCAGATTAGCCTAAGAGATAGTAGGTGGTGTTGCCTAACCTAACTCTTTTTCAAACCCTTGCACCCTTTCTGGAATCCTGAACACCCATTTCCTTAACCATTTATCAATCACTTGGCAACATCAAGTTCGAAAACAGTAATGGAACAATATACAGGGTGTTTCAGTTGATTGTTGCATAACTTTAAGATTCGATAGAACTTTTAAAATTAATGCATAAAGTCTGTATAAACATGGGTCGAAAAATGCGTGGCTTCCGAAATACAGGGTGTTTAAATTTACTTTCTAAAATAGTTTTTGTTAAATATTTCGAACAATATTTGTTGTATAATAGTGAAAATTGGTATACAAGGGTTTTTTGGTACGAAAAAACGAACCATGGGCATAGTTTTACTGTATCCGTTAGAGGGCGCTCTCTATTGTACCTGTAGTGTATTAAGAAGAAAAATTTTTTGTTTTTTGAATAAAAAAACTGATTCTTCGCACTTTTCGACATAAAAAATCTCTCTTGTGAATTTTCGTTATAGTTAGCCGTTTTTGAGATATTTCGATGTTTATGGTTCGATGCATTTTTAATTATTTATGATAAAATAACGTTAAAAAGTCAGTATCTCGATAATTTTTAGAAGTAGGCTGTGCCTGCAAATATTTTTGAAATTGAAAGCAGAATAAGGTTAAACGTCAATTAGTTGACAGTTAATTTTGTTGTCTGTTGAAACCTGAAACGTTTTTTTGCAATTGTGAATGCACAAAATTTAGTTTATTTTACCTGTTTTTTTGTAAGTTTTATAAAAATGCCATTTTTATTCTCCAATCAAGAGTTAGCGGATATTCATTTTGTGTATGGCTTTGTAAATGGAAACGCAGCAGAAGCAGCCAGAGAATACGCACGAAGATTTCCAAACAGGCGACATCCAACTCGCTCAGTATTTGTAAGAGTGCATCGCCAAATAATTGAAAATGGTTTTGGAAATCTCCAAAGGGATCAAAACATAAATGTTCGTCAGCGCAGATTTACCCGTATGATTCTGCGTGAGTTTGATAGAGATCCGAACACAAGTATTAGGAGAGTTTCTGGTGCCTTGGGAATTTCAGCAAGCCATGTTCACCGTGTTCTTAGAAATGACCATAGACGTCCTTACCATTTGCAACCTGTGCAAGGACTACAGCCAGGGGACGGAGAACGAAGAATCACATTTTGTCAGTGGATTCTTGATAGAACTGATAATAATAGGGAGTTTTTAAGTAACGTTTTATGAACGGATGAGTCATGCTTCACTAGACGAGGAGTGGTAAATTTTCATAATCAACATATGTATTTGGTCGCATGAAACTCCGCATGCAGTTCGGGAAAGAAATTTGCAGCATGAATTTAGTGTGAGCGTGTGGATTGGTATCTACCGTAATCGACTATTTGGACCGTACCTGCAAGGTTAAATGCTGCGACCTTCTTGGAATTTTTAAAGGCTGAACCTGCAAATATGTGGGATGATGTTATGTTACATTTAAGAAGATTGGCCTGGTTCCAGCTTGATGGTTGTCCAGCTCATTATTCGAGAATAGTTAGAAACTGGCTGGACGAAAATTATCCAGAAAGATGGATCGGCCGTGGAGGACCAGTCGCCTGGCCTCCACGATCCCCTGACCTAAATCCATTAGATTTCTTTGTGTGGGGATTTCTCAAATAAAAAGTGTACCAGACTCCCGTAACCACAAGAGATATGCTAATAGACAGAATCAGGAATGCATGTGATGAAATAAGGCCTTATTTGAATAATGCTATACCACGTTCGATCATTCGTAGATGTGAATTGTGTATTGAACAATTGGGTTTACATTTCGAGCAACTACTTTAGATTTTGTAGGTTTGTCCTAACTATCCAATAGCATTTTAGTTGTAAATAATTCATTTAATTTGTTAAAAATAATATTGGAAAATTAAACAAATTAATATTCTGTTTTTTTGTGTTTATTTGGAGTTAGGAATTATTGCTGTGCTTAAAAACACAATCTAAACGATCATCTTAATTACTTGTAATGCCCAAATCAAAAATGTAAAAAAAATATTATTTTCCCATAATTAATTAAAAATGCATCGAACCTCAAAAATCGAAATATCTCAAAAACGGCTAACTATAACGAAAAGTCACAAGAGAGCTTTTTAATGCAGAAAAGTGCGGAGAATCAGTTTTTTATTCAAAACAGTAAAACTATGCCCATGGTTCGTTTTGTCGTACAAAAGAACCCTTGTATACAAATTTTCACTGTTATACATCAAATATTGTTCGAAATATTTAAAAAAAACTATTTTAGAAAATAAATTTAAACACCCTGTATTTCGGAAGCCACGCATTTTTCGACCCATGTTTATATAGACTTTATGCATTAATTTTAAAAGTTCTATCGAATCTTAAAGTTATGCAACAATAAACTGAAACACCCTGTATAGCGTAGCAGAGTGAACGGAATTTGTGTGGTGGGATCTGGGAGATAGCCACTAACAAGCTGACGACTGTTGTACGAACAGGACAATTTCATCAAATATCGATATAATGTCACTTTTAAGTAACGTAATACGGGTGAAGGTGACGATTTCCAGTAGCATCTTTGAGAGACGTGTAACTTCCTCCTTCTCCGTGTCGTAGAACATTTTTATGAGAATTTATGGCATTATTTTTATTCTAGAGAATGCCAAGACACGTCAAAAGAGTTGTCAAGGGGGACAAGTTTTTAACCTAAAACTACTTCACCCCCTTTCACCCTCGGGCCCTCAGGGTCATACCCTTAAAAATTTTAAATGACAAGGTATGTAATAGCTTGTTTGAAAGGTCTTTCGAAGTCCTTTATTTTGACATTTGATTTTTTTAAATCGACCGATTCGTTTTCAAGAGAATTTGAAAAATCTTTATTTATCCTAATTTGTTCAGATATATGTGTTTTGTCAAAAATAACGTGCCTAGAAAATACCGCAGCACGTTAAGTGGCATGCGAAAACTCCCTATTACTCCATACCCCTTGGCATTTAAAATGTTTAAGGGAATCACCCTAGTGAAGTTGTTTTTGGTTAAAAAGTTGTCCCGCTTGTCAAATCTTGTGACGTGTCTCGGCGTTTTTCCTTTTATTCAGTGGTTTTCGATAAATCCGTGTTGGGAAGTTTTCAAATGAACACCCTGTATATGAGCTCGAGAGATTAACATTTAATTCAAGTATATCTCGTATTCCATATATGCCTTCATCTCCTGTTATCCTGTTCCAGGTATCCTCGATCATCCTTCTAGTATGCCTGACTCTCCACAGAGTGCGGGCTCGTCGCCGGCGCCGCTTAGCCAAGAAGAAGCTGCTGACGGGCCCCCGACTCCTGGACCCGGGCCTCAACTCCTGACATAAAACGCCCCCCGTCGAGTACATCCACGTGGACCGAGAGACGACCGTATGAGGTTCGCTGTGCCCCTGCTCCGTCCCTGTGCTCATTTTTTATCTACCGGTGCCTTTCAGTGACTACGAACGACAGCGGTCTCTGCGGTCTTGCTCTTCCTTCAGATAGATGGGTGTTATCAGACAAACTGGAGTCGCTCTACTTCAGGTTTTCCTACATATAAAGTATAGATAGATTTGAACTACATAGCGAGGATCTCAGACAATGAAAAATCACATAAATAACAGGTTGGTGAGTCTTCAGCCTCTTATGAGGCAGGAAGTTAACCACCCGTTATATTTTCTAAAGCTTAGTACGCTTATGCTATTGAATTAACTATAACACGAAGAGGAAAATAAAAACACGTGCATTCTAGTTTAAATTTGACACAATCGTTTTACCAAAAAAATAACCTATACATTGGAACTTCGTTCACACGTTTGGAAAAAGCACAAAATCTTCATTGCGATAATCCACGCTTATTATTTCAGCAGATGACTTTTTAAGATGTAGAGATACTGATTTTGTTCATTTTGGAGTGCAAAGCTAAATACTTAAAAGTCTATTAATTTTATTCTTTTCTGTTCAAGACTATATGCTCCACATCAGTGTTACATTTAAAAGAAGGTCATCTTATCGCTCAATAGCTTCATCTATACTAATAAAAACATAAGTTGACGATTGCATATTCGCATATTGAGAAAATTTTACACACAATTACTACGCAGCCGGAAGATCACAGGCAGTGTGAATGGCAACATTGATTCGGAAGTTCCCATCCAAATGCTATGTGATTCACTCATATTGAGAATTAAGAATTGACGGTTGCATATTCACATATTGAGGAAATTTTTACTGAGGAAGTATCTCAAATATACATACACACGATTATTACTCAACTAGAAGAACACCGGCAGTGTGGATGGGAACATTGGTCTGGAGGGAGACATTCAAATGATTTGTGCTTAATCCGTATTAAAAATCAAAGATTGACGGTTGCCTATTTATACACTGAGGAATTTTTTCTTAGAGAAGTATCTAAAATATACATACATGCGATTACTACGCAGTCGGAAGATCCCAGGTAGTGTGAATGGCAACGTTGGTTCAGAGGCGCCCATTCAAATGTTGTGTGATTCATATGTATTAGAAATTAAAGATTGATGGTTGAACATTCAAATATTGAGGTAATTTTCATTGAGCAAGTATCTCACATATACATACACCCGATTATTAAAATCACAAGCAGTGTGAATGGCAACATCGTTTCGGAGCAGCCCATCCAAATGACGTGTGATTTATCCGTACGAAGAATTAAATATTAACGGTTGTACATTCACATATTGAGCAAATTTTTATCGAGGAAGTATCTCAAATATGCATACACATTATTATTACGCAGCTGGAAGATCACAGGCAGCGTCAATGGCAACATTGCTTCGGTATCCTAGTTGTATGTGATTTAGTGAAGTACATTATGTGCTATGCGCCTCAGGATATAAAAGTACCCGGCCAATAATGGCATACTTTCGCACCAAGGTGTGTTTTAAGGTTGGCTAAATTAAAGATCAAATCTTTCCGGACAAGATCGCGAACAGTATTTTGTTTTTATTATATTTTAAATTCCCGTTTATGATTGACATAGCGTAGCACAAACATCGCCAGAACATAACTCAAATTTTCTAACACACGCATGCGCTGTGCACACTGATTTTTGACATTTGACACAACTTTTGGAGGACTTACGACTTTCAGCTATCATTCTTGTTTAGCTTTTTCTTTTTTAATGCATTTATTTTGTGAACCTATCTTTAATTAATTCATTTGCTAAACAAATTAACGACTATTATTCAAGCAAGTAAAATGAACAGCCATCTGTTACATTTCACGTTCTTCAACATTAGCTGAAGAATAAATCTTCATTACTTACGGAATTCGCACAAGAACATATCAGTAAAAGTTTGTTAACTCCTTATGTTATGTTTATTTCTTATTTTCTGCTGTGTTGGTCTATAAATGGTCTAATTCAAATCAGTGACTGTAACTTCCTTATGTTTCCGATATGATTATGCTATGTCGACTATAAACCGGGCTTAAAGCATTGGCATTTAGTTAATTATGGTTAGTGAATTCTATGTCTTACTTCAACATAAATTTATGATTTCTCACAAAACATTTTCTGAGATCCTCAAAAACCTACCTAAAAACAATCTACAAAAGCTGCCAAAACCCCACCCGAAAGAGACCGCGGTGACACCGCAGTGTACGAACCATTTAGACAATCGGTCCGACAGAAGAGACCCTCTGTTACTTGTGGTCACATTCTGTTGTATTTAAATCTCTAAGGAAGAACGTTCCACAAAGTTGTTTAGTGAGTTGTGTAGTGCATCCGAGTTGTGTAGGACATTAAGCGGATTATTACTACCACAGCATATAGAATGCAACACAGCATGCAACTTTAGACGATATAGAACGTCATTTTTGCTGATCAAATGACACGCCAAACGACTTCGAAAACCCAGAACTGTTATTTTGAGCTGGTGAGGCAAAACATCTGCGCACTTGGGATTCAATAATAATTATAAGGAAGAACCTGAAAATAAAAACCTGTTGTTTCACCACTCGGTTTCGAGAATATCAATCATACCTTTCCTGCAAGGATACTCAACCAAATTCGGTCTCAATATACAGAAGAACTGGAAATCTATTATACAAAAGATAGGTGAAGGAATTAGCCTAAAAGGCTAAACAACAATTAATAAGGATAATTATAATCTCTTATTTAAGCGATCAAGCGATGACTGATGATAAATGTGATAAAAAGCTGCTACAATTAACAAACATAAAAAATACTTAAGGGAAGACAGTAGGTAAAAAATACAAAAAAGTAGTGAGAGTCTTTCAAATAAGAGAAACGAAACTCATCTACTCTGTGAATGCAGTCTTCCAACAAAATGTTTTTTAATTTTGTTTCAAAACTATTTGTGGCGGATTTAAAAAAATATATATTCAGCATAACTTTTTCAGTACATGTGCGAATTTATTGTTAATGAAGTTATCTTGATCACGAATATTGTAACTGTTTTCACGATTTCTCTGTAGATGGTGAAGAGTTGTCAAAAAATTAACTAAAGACAAGTCAACCTTGAACCTGACTATAGACTGAGATTTTGGAGACAAACAAATCATAGGCTTGAAACTTCCACCTATTCTGGATTCGTTGATTGTAACTTGTGTATATATATATTTCCTTACAAGACCTTTACAGAAAAATTGCTAATGACCTTTGACTACAACACAAGAAGTATCTTGACATTATGAGCTCAAAGCTAACACAGAAGTAGATGAGGATGCTAATCGTACCTAGCTTGCTGTGAAGACATTCAGTTTCTCCAGAAAGTACGGAGGAAGACACAATATACATACTTGAAAATGTACCAGTCGCCTTTTATGAGCCACAACACATTTTCACACACAAATATCACAAAATCACTCAGACCACCATCACGACACGACGACACTGCGAGAAATAGTATTTCGATATCTCAAGGGCATCATGTTGTTTGTCTTGATGAATGTAGATGCAGCGTTAGTAGTCTAAGATCACCTAATAGTCAACCAGTGTGTTGTGACAACAGTTCTAGGTGGGTTTTTGCGTTTGGCGTTTTCGGGACGATGAGTGGGGATGACGTGCCTGGTGCATCAAAAACAACAAATAATATCTGGTCGCTTGAGACTTTGGGGAGAATGGGCATGTCTTGGGAGCACGAGTGCCTACCAAAGACTTTCCTGGTTTTGCGTGGTGCTATTTTAAAATGATAATCGTCGCTTCGCACGACCTGGGCGTGATACAGAGCCGTTGAGGGTATTGCTACAACATATTGTATAGTAACAAAATCACAAATTGGAAGACAGATAAATATAAAATGTACTGTCATTGTCATTTTGATATGTACTATGAGAAAGGCCACCCTAGTGGCGGAACCATCTGTAAAAAGTAATTTCTACGCATGTGGTTTCATTTGGCCAGAAAAACATGGAGCTCTATCAGCATAAAAACCACGGGATATGATTCAGATGATCCCGCAGGAGTTCCCGCATTGCATAACTTACATCCATCTTATTACTCAGATCGTCATGGCAATTCACTTTCAGACTATTTAAAACATAACCTCCATTCCTAAGGTGCACCGTTCATAGAATACGGCCACAGAATCTGTTAGTGGAGAGCCATCTAGGAAACGTTTTGAAAGTCCAAAGGACCATAGGTCAAAATTGGACAAAAATAACGTATAAACTTTTTAATCAATATGATTTGATCCCATTGCCTTAGAAAACTTTATTGAGTAAAAGTGCTACATATAACATTTTCAGTCAAAAAAACGGTGCCGACACGAGCTTAAGGGCCGTATCGTCGTTCCGACAATTGTAGGACGCCTTTATGGCCTCCTTGATTTTCATAGTTTTCTACTATTCCGGGTCAGCGCTCCATTTTGAGATTGTGTTACAAAATCTACTTGCATCAAATTGTTCGTGCTTTTGATTTATCTCATCTGTTATATCTGCCTGAAATTTCGTACTAGTCAAAAAGAAAACGGAGCCTCACTATAGGAGAGCGCTGTGGCTGAGACGGAATAGTAGTAGTCTAGAAATAGCCCAGTCTGTCTGAAGGAGAGCCACGCCTTTACGGCTTGCTTGATTTTAATAGTCTTTTCTCTCCTTCAGAAAGGCTGGGTTATTTCTACTGTTCCGTGTCAGCGTCAGCGCTCTCCTATTGTGAGGCTGTTTTCTTTTTAAATTGCAGGAAATTTTGGGCTTATATAACAGATGATATAAATCAAAAGCATTAACAATTTGATGCAAATAGATATTAGTAGCATAACCTCAAAATAGAGCGTTGACACGGAACAGTAGAGAACTATGAAAATCAAGGAGGCCAAAAAGACGTCCTAGAATTGTAGGAACGACTGACGATACGGCCCTAAAAGCTTACAAACTGCAAACTTCCGTAATGCCAGTACGCACCCACTGACATTTCACTGACATTTATAATAATATAGCCAAAAATGTGACATCTGCTAAACCTATCACTGTCTCTGCCCGTTGTAGTTTATAGGCAAGAAAAATTAGTCTTTGAGCTGCATCTTCCTGTTTGTGTCCGTGTACCACTTTAGCACGAGCACGTTAGGAATGCAGCTTAACCCGGAAACGGCTACACAGCGTCAACTACTACTGTGTCGACCTATCAACGTCAGAGGAACTTCTCGAATAGCGTATATTTTTTTGGAGTTGCATTGCTGTGTAGTATCTTAATGCTGTACTTATGTACCGATTTTTCTTCGTTTCAGGAATATATTTGTATAGATCGATATATGTTGTAGATAATTTTCATGATTTGTGATGGGAAAATTCAGGAACATTTGATTTTCTTAGTCAAATCGAACGACAATATTCAGAATGATATATACGAAGATCGTTTTAATTTTAACTCTATTTTCCAACGGGTCGCCAGATGGACATGACTGAGAGTATCAGTAAATCCACGTCTTCATGTTTTCCGGGCGTTAAGTCCGACCTTCTTTATGCCCTAGGGCTGTAAAGTAACTTTAATGTCCGCTATATTCAAACTGACTTTTTCTTTTCGGCGATAATAACCATCTGTATTTATTGCTAGGCAACCGCTGAAAGTAAGGTCACACAATGAGGTAGTACGGTTAAAGGATTTCTTAAATCATTGCCCGTTGTAGATATGATTTTGTTTGAATCTCTGACGTGATAATTGCTTAGGTATCTAGGGCGTTAAGCTGGAAGTTACGGCCTGTATCGCGCAATTCCACTAATGAACGTAAAAACTTATCACGCCTGAGATACAGAGTCGTACAAAATTACGTTCGATTTCTTATTGAACATAAAAGTAAAAAAATTGACCGTGCTATATCACATCGGGTGCAGACTGTTGAAGCCATAGCCTAGCAATAAATAGATACGACACTTCTTCCTTGCGGCGTGCATAGGTCAACAATACTTTACCACCCTAGACCACTATGAATTCCGTTGGCTGAAAAATAGGACTTAACGGCTAGAAAGCTTACTCATAGAGTACACTTTACCGCCCGGTCGCAGATAATAAGCGTTTATCTGCAGCCGGATGGTAATGTGCACTTTATGAATAAGTTTTCTTGGCGTTAAATCCCACTTCTCAGCCCACAGACTTCATTTCCTATGGCGGCCACAAGAACTGTATTTGTTGCTCGCGCTGATACAATAATTCTGTTAACTAATTGGTTTTAAATATTTTCAAAAGCTGTCACAGTGTTTTCTTCAATTGGTCGTAGATAAGATGGTGTATGTATATCGGGCGTATCAAGTGTTTATGTTCCTTTGCATATTAGAGTCCGCGGTACTTCAAACATTGGGTCCTAATTTCACGCCACGGGCTATAAACACACACTTTACGCCCTAAATACATGAAGAACTATTATAATGATACTGATATATGCAAGAATTCCAAATGTTTCCCTTTAAACACACAAGTTTTAAGAATAGTGCAGCTTACATTTTACATCGAGACGAGTGTTGGACGGACTTACTAAAAGATCATCAAATTTTCCTGGGTTTCACAAAAACCCCAGGCGTACATTTGCTTGTACTTTTATTTTCTTG